AGACTGATAAAGCTTCCATTTTGGACGAAGCTATAGACTATTTGAAGTCACTTCAGTTACAGCTACAAGTTATGTGGATGGGAAGTGGAATGGCGGCGACAGCAGCGGCGGCTCCGATGATGTTCACCGGAGTACAGCCTCCGCCGTTTATCCGTCAGATGCAGAGTCCGGTACAGTTGCCACGATTTCCGGTTATGGATCGGTCTGCGATTCAGAACAACCCTGGTTTACTTTGTCAGAACCCGGTACAAAATCAGGTCTTCTCTGGCCGGTTTGCTAGATACATCGGCGGATTCCCACACATGCATCCGGCGTCTCAGGTAAGACCAATACGACGTCGTTTAGTAAAGTACTAATGCGTTTGATATCTCTTAGTCAGTCGGGAAATTCGTCCCGTTCTATATCCGTTCCAAATTTCAGGTTTTATTTCTATTTAGTGTTTACCTTTTTAATAATTATCTATTTTTAACACTTCATTTTTATTATTCTTTTTTATAGTAATTATCTATTTGAAATCGTTTATTTTATTTAAACGGATACGAAACAAAAATATAACATATGTTATTTCGAATTATTCAAACTTTTTTTTCTACATAGCGAAAATGATTTAAAGTTATCTAAAAGTTTTTTTGAAAAAATTCCGAAATTACTCAAAACATCTATTCCAAAGTTGTTTTCTACATAAAAAAATGATTGTAGCTATCCAAATTTTCCGAATCCATTCCGCTAACCATATTTCTCAACCCTGTTTCTTTAATAAGCATAGTTTGAATAATATTGTTCAATTCTTCAATTCCCTATATGTTTTTGAGATATTGTTTTTCCCGCTATTTTCCAACCTTGATGCCTTAACAAAACCATCTTTGGGCTTGAAATATGTTTACCAAAAAAAAAAATCTTTGGGCTTGAAATAAACAACACACTTTTGTAATGCGTGTTAAACGACGTAGTTGGGATCTTGTTAGCTACATATTTACACGAACCATTTCGGTACGTACTAAACGACGTAGTTTTGTATCAGCCGATGGAGATGATGAGATTTGGTTCCCCGGCAGGACAGCAAAGTCAACAGCCGACGAAGACCACCGACGGTTCTCGTTAGGACCATTAAGCTGATGTGGCCTTTTTCTAATTTTGGTTTGTTTGTGGTTGTTGGGGCAAAGTGTCCTCCTTATTTATATAATCTTTTGAACATACTTAAAATGTTCAAGATGTATTATTATAGAGTACAACTTCATT